GAAAATTAATATAAACTTCTAATACATTCATACATTTATTCAAACCGTTTCACAATCAAAGCTTAAGAAAAATCTCTTTACATGGTTAGGGTTTCATCAAAACCCTAAAATTAGAGGACTAGCCACTTATGGAGGAGTGGGAAGAGGTGGAAGAGGAAGAAGCCCCCATGAAAGTTCTCCTTTAAGCTTGAGGAAAAAAATCACTTTCTCCAAACCCTAGCCTCCATTTTCCTTAGAATAATTTTCGAACCCCCTTCAGCCCATTTTTTTTTCTCTTTTTATTCCTAGTATAAAAGCCCAAAATTTTCACGCACGCAACCCTAGGTGGGCTGCTCGAGCGATGGTGAGCCGCACGTGCGGTGCGGTGGCTGGCTTGGATTTTTCGCTTCTCGCACAGAGAATCTGCTTTCGCGCCCTTTTTGATTGAATTTGCATATTTCCTGCCAAATCTGTACAAGTGCACAAAACACATCATCTCCACCAAATAAACAAAATTAAAAGACTATAAATGTAATTTAAGCGATCTCAATGTGGTACCTTTCAGCCTACATCATGTTCCCTTGCTTCCCTTTTCTCTTCCCCTCATTTTTCTTTTTCTTTCTTTTTCCTTTCATTTTTACCGACTTCTCATGCCCCGCTATATGTATATATATATGTCCCTGGGTGGTGAATCACCTTGTAATTATGACCCTAAGTTGATGATTCACTCCTCTAGGTTCTAGACAGTATAGATAGCTTATCATTTTTTCCTCTAACAAATCTTGCAACCCTTTCTTTTAATTCTACATGGCCCCAACTTTTATCATAATTAATCGTTGTGTTGATTTGGCCCTAAACAATATATTAATCACATTTTGACACACCAATGTCCAATTAGATTACATCAGATATATTATTTTATATATTTTTCATTATTATTATTATTATTATTATTATTATTGTTGTTGTTGTTGTTGTTGTTATTATTGTTTTTTATTTTGGTAGTAACGTGGTGCTAATAAAATATTTAGGGTGTCATATTTCTCCTATCCTAAATAGAAGTTTGTCCTCAAACTTGATGTACCTTGGTTTTTGAAGAGGTGTGGGTATTTAGCCCGCATTTGATTTTCAGTTTCCCATGTTGCTTCTCCGACACAATATTTCTCCATAAGTTTTTACAAGCGGTATAGTCTTATTTTAGAGAACCTGATCATGACGATCAAGAATCTGTACTGGTTATTCTTCATAAGACAGATCTTCTTGAACTTCCAGGTCCTCATAATCGACACCATGTTCTGGATCTCAGAGATGTCGGCGAAGCATTGAAACGTGGAATACATTGTGGACATTGGACAGTTCTGGTGGAAGGACAAAACAGTATGTTAGAGGGCGAATCCTCTCTAGTATTTCAAATGGTCCGATGTATCAATTTTTTTCGTTTTCCAAATCGAATGACTCTCCTGGTTGGTGAGACCTTTAAGAAAACATGCTCTCTTACCTGGAATTCCAAATCCCGTCTCTGTGTGTCCGCATAGCTTTTCTGGCGACTTTAAGCAGTGTGAATTTGTTATTGGATTAGTTGAATTTTATTACTTGTTATTTGCACGATTTCAAGGCCCAATAACTCTTTGTCTCCAATTTCCGCCCAGCACAGGGGTGATCGACACCTTCTTCCATATAGTGCTTCGTACGATGTCATTCCAATGCTTGTTTAGTAACTATTGTTATAGACGAATTCCACTAACGGTAAGTGTTCATCCCAATTCCCTTTGAGGTCCAGCACGCACACATGTAACATGTCTTCCAAGGTTTGGTTTGTCCTTTCGAATTGTCCATCAGTTTGCGGGTGATAGGCGGTACTATTCAATGTGGTTCCCAAAGCTTGCAATTTGTTCCAGAAGTGAGATACTGGGTGCCATGCAATCAAATGATTTCCTTGATGTATAAAGTGGCAAACCTATTGAGAGTGTATATGACTTTGACTGGAAAAAAAATGCGCCGACTTTGTCAATCGGCCTACTATAACCCATATAGCATCATTCTTCGAGACTGACTGTGGTAACTTAACCACGAAGTACATAATAATGTTCTCCCATTTCCATTTCCATGCAGGTCTCTGATGTTCTGCTTTAACAAGTTGACAATGCAGGCATTTTAAGATGTGACTTGCTATGTCTCTTTTCATTCTTGTTCACCAATAGTGTTCCTTCAGATCGTGATACATCTTTGAATTGCTAAGGTGGACTGTAAACCTTGAGCTATGAGCTTTCACCAATATCTTCTTCTTGAGCTCTGGAACGTCGTACACAAATTCGATTTTGAAATTTTAGCACCCCATTGCTTATAGTAAAATTAGGATCGTGCGTATTTCTCTGCTCTTTGTATTTTTTTTTCAGAAGTTTATCTTCACATTGGCGTGCTCTAATTTCTTCTATCAACGTGGGTTCTACGATTATGTTGGCGAGCAATCCATTGATCTTGCAGGAAACGAGGGTACATGCCAAACTTTTAGTAGTCTTTCAACTTAATATGTTAGCTACTATGTTAGCTTTGCCTGGGTGGTGGTATATCTCCACATCATAGTTTTCATGAATTCTAGCCACCGCTGTTGCCTCATATTTAGTTCCTTCTGTGTGAATAGATATTTAAGACTCTTATGATCAGTGTAAATCTCATAGGTTACATCATAGAGATAATGACGCAAGATCTTGAGGGCGAAGATCACCGCAGCTAATTTTAGGTCATGGGTTGGGTAGTTATTCTCTTGAGTCTTTAGTTGACATGAGGCATGTGCAATGACTTTTCCATTTTGCATAAGAACGCAACCTAAACCATTGTATGAGGCATCACTATAAATTACGAACCCATCCGTTCACGTAGGGATTGCTAGTATAGGAGCTAATACAAGTCTGCTTTTTAACTCTTGGAAACAACGTTCCCGTTTGTCAGTCCATTCAAAGGGTGTGTTTTTCTGAGTCAGTTGAGTCAAGGGTGATGCCATCTTCGAGAAATTTTGAATGAAGTGTCGGTAATAGCCGCCTGGACCCAGGAAGCTTCGAATTTCAGACACGTTAGTAGGTCATGGCCAATCTACAATTGTTGTAACATTTTGGGAGTCAACCGAGATACCATCCTTGTTAATGACGTGATCAAGGAAGTGTAAACTAATGATCTCAAATTCGCATTTCTTCAACTCGGCAAAGTTTGTGATCACATAGTGTCTGCAAGATCATTCACAAGTCTTGCTCATGGTCCTTCGGTGACTTGGAGTATATACGAATGTCGTCAATGAAGACAATGACGAACTCATCAAGATATGTTTTGAACACTCGGTTCATGAGGTCCACAAAGTCTTTTGGAGCATTTGTGATGCCAAATGGCATGATGAGAAACTCGTAGTGCCTGTAATGTGTTCTAAAGGAATTTTTTCTATGCTTTCGTTTTGACTTTAGTTGATGATAACCAGAACGCAAGTTGATTTTGAGAATGCTTGGGTGCCTTGAAGTTGATCAAACCAGTCATCGATTTGGGCCAAGGGGTACAAATTCTTGATGGTGACTTTGTTCAATTCCTGATAATCGATACACAATCTCATTGTACCATCTTTTTTCTTTACGAACAGTACTAAAGCTCCTTAGGGCGAGGTACTAGGTCAAATAAAGCCTTTGTCCAATAATTCCTGGAGTTAGGTCTTTAGTTCTTTCAATTCTATCATTGACATGCGGTAAGGAGCTGTAGATACTAGTTGTGTACCAGGTTTAGTTTCAATGGTGAATTCAATTTCTCGATCAACTAGAGTACCATTAGGTCTTCCAGAAAGACACCTGGAAATTCTCTAATCACAGGGATTGCATCAAGTGTGGGGGCTTCTTGCTAAGTATCGATCACATAACAGATATAACTACAACAACCCTTTCTTAAAAGTTGTTGGGCTGTCATGGAGGATATAACACATGGAGGGATGAAAACTCCAGTTCCATCAAAGACAAGCTTGAGTTGGTTTGGTAACTGGAGAGAGACCTTTTTTGGATTTGGAATTGATAGAGGCGTGGTTGACAGCTAACCAATCTATTCCTACGATCACATCAAAGATCCCAATACGTAGGGGAATCAAATCCACGTATAAGGTTTCGCATTTTAAGGATATTGCACAAGAATTATACATATCAATACCAAGGGCAGAATTACCAGAAGGGAAGGACACAGACAGTATACATCATAAGTGTTCGTGTATCGATGCTAACTTGGAAGCAAAGTGTGGTGCAACAAAAGAATGAGTTGAACCAGAGTCAATGAGAATATAAGCTAAATGACCACAGACAGAAAGTGTACATGACACAACATTCTCAGTAACTTTTGGGTTTCCAGGCACCAAGGCAAAAGCTCTTCCTTGGCTTTTTTGGTCCTTCCTCACTCCTCAAGGTACTGCGAGTTTTGGGGCTAGTTCAGAGGGGCCTATTATAGGATTGGTAAACTTAGGACAATCTCTCAGCAAGTGACCAATTTTTTCGTATTTAAAAGCATGTTCCCGTGTCTCGATGGCATCGTCCCCAGTGAGCCTTCCCACAAGTAGGGCAATTTGGAATGGTGCCACTTCTGGGGTTGGTAGGACGTTGATTGCTTAGACTAGTTGAACCCATATTTACCTTTTTTGGGGGTGCAGCACTAGATCTTCTGTTGCCTTTTTCCCAAAATCACTTCTTTTGGTTCGTTTTCCCGGAACGCGATACTTTAATCCCTTTTTCGACCTGCATATCTTGGCAACTTCAGAACTTCAATCTTGTTTTTGATGTCATAATCTAAGCTAGCTTCGAAGTTTCAAGCTCTTTGGGCTTCGGTGGGAATGACATATGTCGCAAACCGAGCTAGTTGCGTGAACATGCTCTCGTATTCAGCCACCGTCATTGATCCTTGCTTAAGATGTATAATTCCGATGCCTTTTGTTCTCGTAGTGAATTCGAAAAGTATTTTTTGTAAAATACTTCTAAGAATCTTACTCAAATCACAATTTTTTTTTTCAGGGTAAGAAGCCACCATTCCTACGCATCATCTTTGAAAGTGAGAGTGGCAAAAATTGCCTTCTGTCTTTCTGTGAAAGGCAGCGCGCGAAAAATCTTCTCCATGTCCCTAATCCAAGCTTTTACTCTCAATAGGTTTGAACTGTCGGTGAATATGGAGGCCTTTAGATCCTGAAACTGTTTTATTGTAATCAGGTCTTCTCGCTGTTCTAGCATTCCATTGTTTATGTTGGTTTGCAGGGCCTGCAAGAAGCTAGTAACTGTTCTTTTCATGATTCTTTCCATTGACTCTGTTCCACTGACTGAGGACCCATTTCTGTTACCATCATTGGCTATTACTACAAAGTAAGATTTTAGTAGAATTAATTTAATAAGCATGACATCACATTTATAAAAGCATCATCTATATATATATATATAAAACATTAGCTTTACTATTTATACAAATATGGTGTTAGTACTACATCTTGATTAAAAGTTAAAAGTTAAGTCAGTGTCTAATCCTTTTAGTACAAAAATAAGAATTCAGAACTAATCGCGGTTAGCTCAGAAAAAGGATCCTCCTCTCCAGTGCTTAGATTGGCGAGTCAAACAGCCATGGAAAGTACTGCTGCATGAGAAGCTTGAATTGTCATCCCAGCTGCACTACTCCGAAATAGACCCATGCTGCCTGAATTGTATAAATAGGGATGGACTGTAGGTATCCCCAAAACGCTCAGTCGATGATCCACCCATGTGTCTCGACATATGTGAGGTCATTACTGAAATTGACATTTTGGACATTAATAATGTCCAAGGGGTTGGAGACGTCGGTGAGTATGTAGTCGCCGGGAAAAACATTTCTCCTTATTTCAGCATAACTCGGGGGCAAAGGACCAACTATGTAGTGAGGGCAGTCTAGTCCTGGGGCAAGGCCGACTGCGTAGGTAGGTCTGAGATTCCATCCTCGAGTATAGGCACGGCTCTGTCTCCATGATGGATATGCCAAGTTATCAAGATCGGCCTGTAGATATATCAGTCAACCCATCAGTTGGTCAAGGCCTGGGTGTAGCTGTCTGACTATGTCCTCGGAATCTCCCTATCCTTCTGGCGAGGCAGGGGCATAATGTTCTTCTAAGATTCCTTCCAGACTTAACCTTTCGAGCTCGTTCAAGAATGACGCACCGAGAGTAAATTCAGACATCCTTACATCACCAAATTTAGCCATGGTACAATTGTAAGATTAACGTGACGGGTCGAATTTTTTTTTAATTAAACCACTGCTCTAATACGACCTTTATCACGACCCAACTCTGGTTGCTTAGGGCTAGAATCGTAACTTGCTAATTAATTCTAATTTTAACAAACTAAGTGGTGCAGGCAGAGACCGAATGAAAGGAAGAAAATAATTAAATAGATAATTAACTTTATTACAAATTTTACTATTTTAATAAAAGGACATACATCCGTTGGGCTTTTCTTATTTTATAGTTCGGTGAGAAGCAATTATAAAAAAAAAAAGAAAAAAAAATTCGCATCAAATTTCGTGCCAGTCCCACTACACGAGATTACAATCCTTCTTTATATTTCATCACCTAAAAGGGGTAACAACTATAAGTACACAGCAGAGTGAGAGATATTATGCCAAGAGTGTAAGGCTCAAAATAACCATGGATAGTTATTTAAGCTAAAACATTATACAATATTTGAGTAAATAAATTATTTAAGTGGCAGAAACTAAAATCCAGAAGTTATGTAAACAAATAACCATAACCAGGCATAAAACAAAACATAACAAAGATCACTGGAGTGACAATCAGAATAGAGGTCAATAGATCCATGACAAATAGAAGGCCAGAAAGTAACCAATCAGAGACTAATGGTTATTTAAGTCACCCAAAGCATGGGACTCCCGTGGTGGTACTCACAAAAATAAATATTTATATAATCATTGTCAAATAATTTCTAAAATTTAAACAATCATATCCATGGGTGTCAATTTAAGCAAATAGAGTCCAGAAAATAATTAACGTAATTGAAATATTAATATAATTTATAGAACATGAATTGCATAAATAAATTATAGTAATTCGAAACATACATAAAATATGTTATGGTGACTCAAGGTATAATATAACTCACCTTAATATTGATTCCTACACTTTCCCTCCTATTTTTGCTGAATTTTCAAGGTTGTTCCCTTGCTTCCCCTTTCTCTTCCCCCTCTTTTTTTTCTTTCTTTTTCCTTTCGTTTTTACCGTCTTCATAGGCCTCGCTATATATATATATATATATATGTCCTTGGGTGGTGAATCACCCTCTAATTATGACGCTAAGTTGATGATTCACCCCCTGGGTTCTAGACAACACAGATAGCTTATCTCTTTTTCCTTCAACAAATCTTGCACACCTTTCTTTTAATTCTACATGGCCCCAACTTTTATCATAATTAATCATTGTGTTGATTTGGCCCTAAACAATATATTAATCACACTTTTGACACACCAATGTCCAATTAAATTACACCAGATATATTACTTTATATATTTATTTATTTTTATTATTATTGTTGTTGTTATTATTTTTATTTTGGTAATAACGTGATGCCAATTAAATATTTGGGGTGTCACACGCGATGTCCATCATCGCGGGTGCGGTCATCCCCCCTGCGGGCACGACTATGCTACTAGCGAGCCATCATCATGGCCCATCTCGGGCAACGCACCTCCATGAGCCAAAATACCCAAAAGTGGTTTTTGGTCACGGCCTGGTCTCGATCCATAGTGGGTGCGATGGTGTTGGTCGTAGCTCGACCTTTATGATTACGGGTGCGATGGAGTTGGTTACAGGCCCGGCCTCTATGATTGCGGGCGTGATCACTCACACCTAATACAACAAGTTTCAATTCCTGGGACAAAAACAAGGGTGAGCAAGGCTAGATTCAACAAAGTAAGGTGAATATCAATCCAAAACAATCCCATACTCCAAATGAAAAGGTAAACTTGGTCAGGTTTTTGACTTGGGCCACTACATTAGTGCTAAATACTTAGCAATACTGGGGCTTACTTTTAATTGCTTAGCAGGGTTAGGGCTTTGTTGATCAAATTTCTAGCAAGACTAGGGCTTACTTCTAGTTGTCTAGGTAGGCTAAGGCTTTGTTGCTTGAATGCAAGGCTATGGCTTACTTCTAATTGCATAGCGAGGCTAGGGCTTTGTTGCTCGAATGCTTAACAAGACCAAGGCTTACTTCTAATTGCCTAATTGGGCTTTATTACTTGAATGCCTGACAAGACTAAGGCTTACTTCTAATTTCCTAGTAGGTAGGGTTGTATAGATAACCAATTCACCTAAAAAGCTCAACCTAAATTGACGAAACCAAGCTTGCTGTGAATAATTTTAAGATTTCAATGGTCAAAAGCGAGCTTCATTCAACTAATCCATTCATTTTTCAATTGAGTAGCTGATGTGGAAAAGGTAATTTTCTCCGAAACAAACCCAAACCGATGTCTTTATATATGATGATACATATGCCACATAATAGTTGCTTGTCTCCACTGATTACATTCATCTTTTCTAAGGCAGCCTTATCACATTTTTCTACTCAAACCTTTGAATCTCACACTTTCATATGTCTCCTTCTCAGTTCTCTTATCTCTCTCATGGTGTCATGTTTCACTTTCTTATCTCCCTCTCATAATTCTCTCTTTTGCTATTACTCTATAGTCTCCCTTTCCGTAAACCCTTTTCTATTTTAATCTCCCACTCCTAGTGGAGATTGTGTGAAATTGGTAGCTGACGGTGGCGATGGTGCCATTTAACAGTAACGGTGATGATGGTGCTTAGATTTACTTAGATTTGTGATGAAGGTTACGATAGTGCTCAGATCTATGTTTAGATACATCTTTATTTTATTTTTCTCACTCAAATTTGTAATTTTTTCCAAAAAAAAAAAAAAAAAAGAGATAGATCCGTATATATCTTTTTTTTTTTTCATGTCTCTCAAATCTAAAGATCTTCATAATTTTCGTTTTTTTTTTCTCCTCATTTTCTTAACTCTTTTCTCAAATCTGTACTTACTTTGGGTTTGAAGAGAGAGATCAAAGTTCATCATTTTTTTACCAGTTTCGATTGAAATCCAACCAGCCATGTCAGTTTTAACTATTACAATTTTGACCACTATTACGGTCGAAATTGGTTGATGAAATTTTCTACCCGATAGAGTTGGTTCGAGTGATAGGTCAATACCAAACCCAATTTGAATCGACTCGTGAACAACCCTACTAGTCGGACTAGGGCTTTATTTCTCAAATGTCTAATAAGACTAGGGCTTACTTCTAATTGTCTAGCCAAGCTAGGGCTTTATTGCTCGAATGTCTAGCAAAACTAGTGCTTACTTTTGATTGCCTAGCCAGCTTGGGACTTTGTTGCTCGAATATTAGCAAGACTAGGACTTACTTCTAATTGCCTAGGCAAGTTAGGGTTTGTCTTTCATGCCTAGCAAAACTAAGGCTTATCGTTCTTTGACTTTCATGTCTAACAAGACTAGGTGTAGGATGCTTCCCTGGGGCATGCCCTACACGCCCAACACTTTACTCTCGTCTTGTTCACAAAATGTGCAATATGAATCAAGTGACATTCGGGACTCGGCAATAACGTAGAAATTCACTTATCTAATAAAATGCTAAATAAAGATCGTATCACTAGACATGAAGTCGTCACCTAATCTTTTTGGATAAACCAGGAAACCATGACTCTGATCAATATAGGCTACTAACCCGACGCAACTAGAAAACTGGTTCGAGAGTTTAGGTATGACAGGAGAAGATCATGATTCAAAGATCAGCCTCTCTTATTCTTGATATGAGGCTCATTGCCAAAATATATTCATATTCCAATTATTTAAATCTAACTTTACTATGTGAGGCAAACAATAGAACAAATCACCTATTTCGAAATATTTCTATTTTTTTCTTTTTGGAAAAACAAAGGTTACATTTGATTTAGTTTTTGAATTATCATTTGAGTTTCAAATTGTATTTCAAGTTTTGAGTTTTTTAAGTGTTGAGTTTTGAAAAGAGTTGAGTTGTATTTTGAAATTTTTTGGGTTTATTTTTTAAAAATATTTTTAAAAAATTGTACTTTTTTTTAGGATAAATATTTTTTTTAATGTGCGTTGTATTTACTAAATTTGTGCAATACATTTTTTTGAATATTCAAAAAGTTTATGTTTTCATTTTAAATATATAATTTTTATTTTTTATTTTAAATATTTTATTTTATTTTTAAATATTTTTTTAAAATTATTTATTTATTTTGTAAATTTTAAAAAATTTTAGATCGCCCATATATATCCAAATCATAACAAATTAT